CATCTGCTAATGCAATCATGTAAAATCTGATTTTCCGTCAATGAGTAAATCCTCCTGGTGCTGAGCCAAATGGGATCATAGATTTAAGATTGAAAAAGAAATGGTCTGCATGTAGGTAGATGGCCTTGGAGTCAGCCATGTTTTGGGAGCAATACATGAACTCAACGTGTGCGTCTGCCACATCTGGTTTTGGCAGTGACAGCCCCAGTAAGACTTCCTCAGTCTCTTACACAGGCATTCCCTATCGCATTTTGCCCATCACCCCTCACTTCAAAATTACCTGGTGAAATCAAGCATAGAATGACAATGTGTCTATAAGGTATTGAATTATTACATCCTCTCCTCTGCGGGGAAGTTTTGTGCAAAGGAAAGCTTATTAAACAGACTGTAGTTGTTATTCCTTTTGCTTTTCAAATTGGACTAGTGAACATGTTACTTTCTGAACCTGCCTAATGGCAATCCGTAACTTCATTTGAAGATCTAGCCTAAGCCTGAAACAAAAATAAAAGAAAGAAAAAAAACCTTTCCCCTCTCTTGTCTGGTCACACTAAGCCTTCTGAAAGCACTCTTTCCATCGAGGGAGCTCGGAGAAGCTTGGTTTCTACAGCCAATGGAATGCTGTGTGGTACAGTTTAAAAGGGTTACTGCTGTGAGTGAAAAAATGAAATAATAGAGTGACCCAGAGAGACACCCTGAGCCCAGGAGTACACACCGCCACTCGGCTTTATTGGGTCAGGGATATACATGCGCCTCTGTCTAACAGGAAAGCCAGGGAAATGGCAGACCTTGGCTTCTGCTGCTGGGGACACACACTGGAAATGTTTTACTTCAAAGTGACTGGAACCCTGTAAGAAGTTTCACACTTAAGAGACAGCAGGAATGACTTAGAGAGAAAGAACTAAGATTTTCTCCATTGGGTTCCCCCAGCCTTCAAAAGGTTGACAACTATATATATTTTTTTAAAGTGTGATTGATTCAGAGGACTCCAGGAAGTTTTCTCTTAAAAAAAAAAAAACAGTTAAAGTGTCCCCTCAGAAAAATGCCTGGAGAAATACATCATCACAATGGCATAGAAATGCATCAGAAACTGCCTGCAGACTGCCCAAAGAAAACAGAGCCAATTTTCTGAGAAGACTGAATAAAAGCTGTGTATGCACCCAGCTTCGTTTAATACCCATGGAGTCCGTGTGAGAATGTAGTTAGGAATGAAAAGAGGTAAGAGGCTGGACCCCATTCTTTGTGGTTTCTTCAGAAGGTTGATGCCCACTCTTTCTATCATGGTTCAAAATAGCAAGTGACAGTGGGGGTTTCCACACCTTTGGCTCTGTGCCAGAATGTTCTCTCTCATGTGGCTTTCAATTTTTACCCTAAAGGCAGATTAATGAATATTTTTAATGAACAGGCCTTCCTCTCCTTATTTATAAAGAAGAGCTTTATTATTTTATTCAATTGGTAAAATAAAATTAAGTCTGAGTTTGGGCAGTAAATTTTTCATTATATCTGTTTATCTTCTATATGTATAATAGATGTACAGCATTTGTTTTTGCAGTCGTGAGGCTTCTGATTTGAAATCAGAAAATCCTAGGGTGGTGCAAGACTTTCATCTCAGAGGCCTTATCAGGGTCCTGTGGACGTTTAATCACAGCAGTTCTCTCGGCTAATACGGTAAATCCTCCTGCTATACTGAAAAAGTGCTGTGTCATTGCTATGGAGAGCAGAGGCTGGGGCAGTGGAAAGAACTTGAGCTTAGATTTTGACTCCTTTTCTTGCCGGGGCTGAGACATCTGAGCCTTAGTGACCCTGTGGTTAAAATGTGAATAACAGCTTGGGCCTTAGAGGGGTGGGTGAGGATTAAGTGAGATGATACATGAAAGGCACTTAGCACAGTACTACCATACAGAAAGGAGAAGCAGTAGTTATCCCTTTGTTGCAGTTGGTACAGCATCCCAAATCTTCAAGTCATCAAGTAGAACACATAATGGCTATGAAACATTTCTCCAACTTCTGATTTTGTCTACATTTTCCATATACATAGATTGCTAAGCAATCCCCAGGTTTTGCATTTATTAAGGATCCTTCCTCACTAATAAATACAGAAGTTTTAGTCTTTTAAAGAAAAGATCACCTGTTTTTTTTCTGCATTTTCATGCATTATTTCTTCACATGAGTCCGAGATTAATTGTCCCATCGATCTTAACAACTGCACGAAGTATTGAATGGGTCGAGTGGGTAGCTAAATGTACAAAGAAAGAAAGCTGACGAGATGGCTCACATTTCACATGTGTCAGGACTGGAGTTTGGACCACTGGAATTGCACGTAAATGGTCTGTAATTCCAACCTTAGTAGGTGCCTACAGTAGACCCAGAGAGCAGACTAGTTAGCAACAGCCGTATCAGTGAGTTCTGGGTTTGATTGAGGGAGCCTACCTCAATGAATAAGGTTGAAGAGTGATTGGGGATGATTCCTCACCTCAACCACAGGCTTCCACATACACTCACCGATTGTACCCATGCAGAATCCATCCATAAGTGCCAAAAGGTACGAATGCATACACATGCACAAGCACAGCAAGCACGCACACATATGAAAAATGGAAAGAAGGAAAAACAAACAAGGCAAACAGGAAGAGTTGGGTTAGTAGTGAACCAGCAGGCAGTTCAGGGCCTCTTAGCCACAGATGTGTTTCCTAAGACTGTTCCACCTGGACAGCTAGACTCCTGAGATAATTAGCAAACAAAGGATTTCTTGTCAAGAAAGTTTGTCCAAAATATTTCACATGACATTACCCCCCAAGAAGGCCTTGACACACACCAGCAAAACAGAGACTTGAGAATTTCTGGGGCATAGAACCCTGTTCCCCTTAACACTACTGGGTAACATGTGGGGAACATCCAACTACCCCTAGCTCAAACTGGGAAAAAGAAATGCTTGTACATGAAGATCAAACATTAGGTACAGGGGCATGATAGGGCTGATTGAAGAAGGTAGGACTGATGATACTCAGTGAAGGCTGGTGTGTACACTGCAGACTGTGTCACTTCAAGAATGCTTGTTCTTTCCCAATGGGTCTTTGCTGGTTTTGAAGTGGGAGGGATATTTACCGTGCTTTAGAGAAGAATGCTATGAAATACATTAGTTCTGTTCAAGTGGGGACACAATGATCTTTTAAAAAGTGGGTGATCTTGAGAAGGCATGTGACACAAAGCCCATGCCTTTGAGCACAGTTTTTCTAGTCAGGAAGAAGTGTGGAGAGTTTGAAATCTCTATTCTCAGTTCCCAGAAAGGTAGCATGGTATGGAGACCCATGTGCTAGCCTAGGTGACTTCCTAATGGACTATGTCAGCGTGTGTAGCATACTTTCCTGCATCTGTAAAAACATTAGGAAAAAAGAAACACATCCAAATCCAGGGAATTTCAAAGACTATAGTTACAAGCCACACTAGTAACAGGCTTCTCCCACTCTTCCTCCACCCCCAGTTCTAACCCCTTAATCTACCTTCCTTATTTTCATATCCTTCGATCAAAATAGTTTTCACTTGAATAAATACTGGGGCATGTTCCATTGGCATTACCAAAGAATATGTGCCATTTCTACCTTCAAGACTCACTCATTGTCATTGAAAAGGCTGTCATATTATGTATGTACACTTAACAAACTGTACATGATCCCTATATTTCAAAATGCAATATAAGATAGTTGCATGAAATTGCATTTACTATTGCTAAAGAATGAAGCTGCATTTTATTCTTTATAAGTCCCCAATTGTACCAAGTATATAGTATTCAGTGTGTCTTATGAAAATAATGGAAACTGTCATGACTCCAAAATTAGACTTATTTTATTCAACATAATGTAACAAATACAATTTAATAATAGGACATTTTGCATAGCAGACATGCCAGGACAGAGTCAGGCTGAGATGTGTGAAGTCTGATGTTAAATTTCTTATGCTTTACAAACTGCCCTGTGCCTTACTCAGTGTCAGCTGTGATGATGTCAGAAAACACACTAACTAAACAGTCATCTCTAGAGGCAATTATTGTTTTATGAGGATGAATCTGGCATCACTCCAATTTCAAGAAACTTGAACTTACTTAAGAAATTAGCCCAAATACTGGTTTATTCCAACTTGTATATTCTTCTTTATTGGTTGTGCTTTTAACCCTCGTGCCACATAAGGCTGAAAGCTACTTCTTTTTGTGACGTGCTTGTGTGCCATTAAGTGTGAGGCATTAGTAGATTAAACTAGGACCAAGATGAAAATACTGCATGATGGTGGGTATTTGTTTTACCATGAGTCATGAATCTCAATCTCCATGTGTAGGCTAATGCAAAAACAATAGCCATAGACATGTAATTTCTCTTCCTTTGTTGTACATATTTGCTCTGTTGACAAGGAGACTGAATGTGGGACAGATACTTTTTCTTTAATAGAACAAAATGAGTTTGTTTAGGGTTAGAGGCAACGGGAATGGATGTGATCTGCATTGAGGGTGATCCATCAGTCACTCTACCATTTTCCCTCTCACATTCTCTTCTTCAGGAGCCTGTTGTCTGTGTCCATTTCCATTATGACTACATGTTGGTACTCAAACCTATGATGTAGCATTGGCTTCCACATGATTAATTAGATGTTATGGATTGGAAAATATAATGACAGATTTCTGATACATGTACCCTGAATCTTATCAGGGATTACAAAGTGGGTGTCTTAGTTCTAGTCACTGTAACTTGAGATAACATAGGCAAAGTCTGATAAACAATAGCAGTGCATTTTTCATGATTCTGGAGGTCAGGAAGGGACAAGTGTTCTGTTGTGGTGAGGGCTGTCTCCTGGGATGCAGACTAACTTCCCCTTGTGCTCTCACCCTATGACCTAACTTCCCAAGGCTCCACATCCTAAACCCATGTGAACTTTTGGATTTGGAGAGGGAGGGACAAACACTGAATTCATGACAGGGTCTGCATTCGGTCACTAAAGGGTATGTTCTCTTGTAGGAATGGAATTCCACCATAGAGAAGCTGAAGAGCCAAGCTCTGGAGATTCTACTGTCTAAGGACTTCACAGAAAAGGAACATCTTCAACTCTCTAACCAGAAACTGAATCGGCTCCAAGAAGAGTTTGGTAGACTCATGGTGGAAAGAAAAACCTGGTTAATGATGGCAAATGACTTTTTTAACAGTGCTAATGAGGTCAGTGTGAGATCAAGATGATAGTCTTAAGCACATGGGCTAACCAATAAGAGAACCATTGTGTCAGCCGGTCAGGACTTTCACAGAGAGACAAATTCCATGTAGAATATCAAACTGATAGGTGTACAAAAGAATTTTAAAATCATATTCATTGTGGTTGCTGGTTGTTTTTCAAAACTAAGAGATAGTGTTTTGATGTGATGTGTACAGTGTTAATTGTAGACACCATTGATCCTAGCACTCAGGAGGCTGTGAGGTTGAGGCCAGCCTGATCTGTAGATTCCAGGCCAGTTACTTAGTGAGGCTCTGTCTTTAAAAACAAACAAGCAAACAAAAAACAAATAAACCGCAACAAAATAACATAAAAAAGTTTCCTCTTAGAGCTGCCATCGGTCTGTTAGTAGGAGACACTGTTCTCCACATTAAAATGTTTCTTCCAGAGATGAGAAAATATAAACTTTACCAGGTTAAAAAGGAACTTTAACAGTGTTACCAAAACACCTATTGTTGTTTGTCTTGAAGAATATTTCAGACTGGCCCCACCTCCCAAGGTAGCTGAGGATGGCCTTGGCCTGACCTTTCTGTGTCTGCCTCCTTAGTACTGGGGTTGTAGACATGCATCACCACACCCAGGATATATAGTAGCTGGGATTTGTGCTTGCTAAGCCAGAACTCTGCCACTTGAGCTATATCCCTGACCCAGTTTTGTTCTTTTAAAACATGTTTTTCTTTAGCTTGTTAGGTAGAAATGCGCAGATATTATGTCTTCTGTGCATATGGAGTCCTAAGTTCATTCTGCCTGGGACTTACAAGAAGTAGTCTTGGTTAATTATGAGCTTTTGGGGGGTCTCACTGTCTTAATGCAGGAAACAGATACATCACATAGCTGGAAATACTGAACTAAGTAGATGTTAATTGCTAGTTATTTTTCTCCTTAGCAGCCCAATTTTGAAGTAAGAAGTTTTAAATTTTCCATTGCACCTTTACTCTGCAGAATGAGTGAGCTGTTTTCATGACGGCTGTTATTGCTGCTCAGGGAAAGAGTAATAGAATATATTCTATAAAACAATGCTTCCAGTAGAAGCTGCATAGCTCATAGCCTTGCAAACTGTCTATCATTCTCTCTCTCTCTCTCTCTCTCTCTCTCTCTCTCTCTCTCTCTCTCTCTCTCTCTCTCTCTCTCTCTCTCTCTCTCTCTCCTCTCTCTCTTTCTCCCTCTCTCTCTTTCTCCCTTCCTCCCTCTCCCTCTCTCTTCCTCTCCTGCCCTCCCTCTCCCTCCCCCACCTCCCTATCCCACACTCTCTTGTTCTCTCATTATATCAGTTTCTCCGCATTCATTATTTGACACATTGCCTTGGCCATTTGTCATCTGTGTTCTCAGGGCCTGAGGGAACTTGTAAAAGCTGAAAAAGATGAGCTTGTGGAGGAGAGAAGGAGGAGGGAGACAGGAAGGAGGAAGGTGGGTGGGGGAGACAAGAGAAGACTATTTGAATCTCATACACAATGCAAGTCTGCTCTAGAGAAGAGAATGCAGAAGAGTAGATTCCTGAACTCCCTGTGTCCCACCGCATGCCAACTATTCAAAGTACCAAGTTGACTGGCATTTACCTGTGCTATACTCTGTAGCCAGTGGTTCTCAGAAAGGTTTAGAGTTCTTTCTTTTTAAGGAAATTATTTCCAATTAAAAACTAATAATGCAGTGTGAAAGGTGATGGATATGGGAATTGGAACAGAACCAGAGTTTGTAGAGTGGAGGGTTAATCATGCATACACATGTACTGTTTCTATGTTAGTAAGATAAAATAAATGATTTAATTATGTAGAGAGAAAATCTATGTAAGCTAAGAATCAAACTCTTCTTAGGATTTATAAGTGACATTTTTCTTTTTGATTCATATTTTGGATGCTCCAAATTAAAAAAAATCTTACCGTTTTACCTAGTCTTGTCAGGTAACTCATAAATAAATCTCTGAGGGACTTGTTTTAAATTTATTATAATATCAAGTCTTTAAAATAATTTCTGCCTTGTGGTATTGGTGCACACCTTTAATCCAAACACTTGAGAGGCAGAGGCAAGTGGATCTCTGTAAGTTCAAGGCTAGCATGGTCTTCAAAGTGAGTTCCAGGACAGCCAGGATTGTTACAGAGAAACCTTGTCTCAAGAAACCATAAATAATAATACTACTAATTTTCTAGACTAGAATTTTTGTGTGTACTATTAAGTTTCATAGTTTTAATTTGTCATTATTTAACTCAGAAACACTGTGTTTTCCCTTTGAAAATTCCCTGGGATGTGTCTGGAGGATGCTGGGTTTCCTTGCTGTGAGCATTTGTGTTTGTAGATTAAGTCATGTGGCCACGCACTGAGGACTCTGAGAGTTTACCTGACTTTCAGGCTCTCATGCTGTCCTCTCATGGATGCTGGCAGAAGACTCATGGGTTCTGGGTCAGTGCCGAATGATGGCTGCAGCAAAGCAGTAGCTGGGTGACAGCATGCAAATGAACTCAGTATGTCCCAGTTCCAACATGGGTGATGGAGGTGAGCATGGGCACATGTCTGCCCCACAGAGGAAGGGGTGAGGAGAGGAAGTTTCCACTCAGGGAATCTGCTGTGGATTTATAGCAAGCAGCGGGCCTACTCTTTGTCTCAGGGGGTGACATAACCTCATGTGGAAGATTGCTAACTGCAGAGCCCACGCTGAGAAAGGTGTCCTGCTAGAGGTTAGGTCATTCATTCTTGGCATCCAAGAGAGAGGTATTAGAGAGCACGCATGCAAGATTGGCTGTCAGTGCTGTGGGGGGACAAAGAAGTCCCTGCCTAAGGATAGTTCTTTCCCACAGGAACCAATTCTGCTTCTAATGTGAGAATTATTATGTCAGCAAACAAACTCATTGACTGAAATTCCTTATGTTCTGCCAAGTGCCAATGAGCAGAACATGCTAGTGCTGTGGAAAAATGAAAACTGGGACGGTGTGAGAGTCGGCTTACTAAAAAGTGAGATAAGGGGTTAAAGTATACTTTTAGAGGGGCTGAAGGGATGGCTCATTAGGTAAGAGCACTTGCTGCACAAATATAGCGACCTGAGTTCAGATACCAGAATCCTCCTAAAATGCTGGGCATAGTCCTGTGCATGCCTGGAACTCCAGCATTGTGGGAAATGGGAGAGAGCAGGAGGATAATGGGAGCTTAATGTCAAGTTTCATGCCCATACCTTCTGTTCCCAGGCACAAGAATTCTCTGGGGGAAGCAAGGAGAAAATACTCAGGCCAAGTTCATTTTATGAGCATGCTCTGACCTTCAGAAGGTCAGTATGAATATAAGGATGAACTTGATTTAGGTCATTCAAAGAAATACCTAAGTTCTCATATGAAATATGAATGGCATGGCTTCCATTGCTTCAACCATCACTATTGCAAATGTATTGTCTTCTAGAAGGTCTGGTTGCTTTTAAAAACACAAGTAATCCCTGGAGCCACATTTCTGTTTGACATGAAAACAAAATAATTAAGCATGGCATTTGCTGTAGGCTTTTTCTCCATTTACATAGCTCTCATTTTACCATTTAAAAATAAATGTATTTTAAGTACATTGGTAAAAAAAACAATTACAATGGTCTAATTATTGAACAAATTGAAAGAGGAAACATGCCCAGATAGAAAGCCTAAAAAATATATTATTGAAAAGGAATTTCTTAAAATGATATAAATGAAATCTGGAAATTAAACAAATTGTTAGAAAACATTTTAAAGTTACTTTTAGTGGTACAATTCTTGGGAACTGTGTTCAGAGTCCTCCTTTAAAAAAATTTAAAGTGTGTGTTTGTGTCTGCGCACATGAGTGCAGGTCCCCATGGAGGCCTGAAAGGGCAGTCAGATCCCTCGGAGCTGGAGTTACAAGTGGTTGTGAGTCGCCTGACATGGGAGCCTGGGAACCAAACTCTGGTCCTCTGTTAAGAGCACCAATTCATATTTATTCCCCTGGATCCCTCTTTATAAAATATCCCTCAGAAATATCCCATTCTCTTAGAAATAACTGGAATACTGGCTTTCCCACCAAGCTTCTTCCACCCAAAAGTGTGTTGTATTCCTACTGTTGCCCTGTGTCAGACAGGTATTTGAGTGAAGCCAGTGGCAGGTGTGGTCTCGGGCTTCTAGACCCTCCTGGGTAGTTTATAAGATGGAGTGATGTACGGTAGGGATGTCGTGATGGGTTAAGCCCATGCAGAGGGAAGCACTGAACGGAGCCTGAGCAGGGGAAATGTGTCAAGTAAGGTAACCACTGAGTGAAACAGGGAAGGATAATACACACAGGACGGGGAAAATGCTGGAAGATGCGAGCTCAGGCTGTGCTTGGGAAATATAGGCTAAGTCATTGCCTGAGGTGCGCAGTAGAATCTAGAGGGAAGAGGGACAAAAGAAGTAGAGGCATTCAGGAGTTCAATGAGGAGTGTGGACACCATGCTCGGGAGTGTGTGTGCATGTGCGTGTGCGCACATGAGTGTGTGTATTTACAAGATATAGTGGTTACTATATATATATTATCTACTGTATATGTAGTTGTTGCTATTATCTATCATTTACTATATAACATATAAGAAGAAATAATTAAGAACCTGAGAAGATTATGGTAAGTCAAATCTCACCACAAAAATTGATGATGTCTTCATTTAATATACCTTCCTCTGTCCCTTGGCTAGAATGATGACTGTGGGATTTAGAACATTTTACTTTAAAGCTCAGTGATCAGTCAGGCCATTTAAATCTCAGCAAATATTCAATGAAGGTGGCTAAATTATTACGAAAGAAGTATTAAGTATGTGATGGAAAAATACGGAAAATAAAAGATGTCTTTAACATCCTTCATCACAAGAGCCCAAATCCACTTCAGGCCTAAATGTCTGACAGTCAAGATATTCAATTTTGGGATTGTATAGCTCAATAGTAGGGTGTTTGCCTGGAGTCTGTAAGATTCTGGGTTCTACCTCCAGTACTGCAAATAG